CTCACCTCAGCCTCCCAAAGGCGCGGGATTACAGGCTGAGCCACTGAGCCCGGCTTTTAAGGTAATTTTAATGACATAATGCAAAACCTAGGTTCCTTTGTCTGGATACTCCAACATGCTACTCATTCAACCAACAAATAACTGATCAAGGGCCTACTATGTGTTAGATACAAAAATTCATATAAGACATAGTCTTTGTTGTCAAGTACCTTATGTAACTTGAAATATCAACTTTTCTTTCTACTTTAGCTTCAAAAAGAAATATTATTAAAAAAATTAGCTGGGTATGGTAGCACGTGCCTGTAGTTCCTGCTATTTGGGAGGCTGAGGTGGGAGGATTGCTTGAGCTCAGGAGTTCAAGGCTGCAGTGAGATGGGTATGCCACTGCACTCCAGTCTGAGTGACAAAGTGAGACTCCAACTCAAATGAATAAGTAAATAAAGAAAAATTAAACTCAAAGCAAGTTTTAAAAGGAAATAACCAAGAGTAGAAATCAATGAGATAGAAAATAGAGAAAATTAACAAAGTCAAAAGTTGCTCTTTTTTAGAAAAAGATTTGTAAAATATGCCTTTTACAAAACTGAGAAAAATATATATCACCAATTAGGAATGAAATAATGAAGGGCTCTGTATTAGTAAGTACAGATTCTACAGAAACTAAACAAATAAGACTATATCAAGAATAACTAGCCAGACACAGTGGCTCAAACCTATAATCCCAGCACTTTGGGAGAGCGAGGCAAGAGGACTGCCTGAGTCCAGGGTTTCGAGACCAGCCTGGGCAACTTGGTGAGACCTCGTCTCTATGATAAATCAAAAAATTAGCTGGGCATGGTGGCTCATGCCTGTAGTTCCAGCTACAGTAAGGAGTAAGGATCGCCTGAGCCCAGCAGGTTGAGGTTGCAGTAGCCGTGAGCATGCCACTACACTCCAGCCTGGGTGACAAATTGAGACTGACTCAAAAAAGAAAAATAAAAAAAAGAATAACTTTATACCAATAAACTAAACAGCTTAGATGAAACAGACATACTCCTTTAAAAACACAACTCAATAAAAATCAATCCAAGAAGGACTAGAGAATTTTAATAGCTCCATTTGCACAAATCAATTTCACAATAAACACCCTTCCTATAAATAAAATCCAGGCCCAGATTCACTGGTAAGCTTTATCAAACATTTAAGAAAGAAATAATATGTATCTTTTACAAACTCCTTTGAAAAACAGAGGATACTCCTCTCAACTACAATCACGTGTCACTTAATGAAGGGGATATATTTTAAGAAATGTGTCGTTAGGTGATTTCATTGTGTGAACATCACAGAGTGTATTTACACAAACCTAGATGGTATAGTCTAGTCACATCTAGACTATATGGTATAGCCTATTGCTCCTAGGCTACAAACCTATACAGCATGTTATTGTATTGAATACTGTAGGTAATTGTAACACAATAGTATTTGTTTATTTAAATATCTAATCATAAAAAAGGTACAGTAAAAATATGGTATAAAAGAGAAAAAAATGGTACACCTGTATAGGGCACTTACCATGAGTGGGGCTTTCAGGATGGAAAGTTACTCTGAGTGAGTCAGTGAGTGTGTGGTAAGAGCATGTGAAGGCCTAGGACATTGTTGCACACTTCTGTAGGCTTTATAAACAAACAGGCTACACTAAATTTATTTTTTAAATTTTCTTTTTTCAAATTAACCTTAGCTTATTGTAACATTTTTACTTTACAAACTTTTGAATGTTTTTAAAAACTTTTTGTCTCTTTTATAATAACATTTAGCTTAAAACACAATGCACAGTTGTAGAAAAATATATTTTCTTTATAACCTTATTCTATAGGCTTTTTTCTAAAAAAAAAAAAACCTTTAAAATTGTTTTGTTAAAAACTAAGGCACAAGTACACACATTAGCCTAGGCCTACATGTGGTCAGGACCATCAATACAATTGTCTTCTACCTCCACATCTTGTCCTATAGCAGGTCTTCAGGGGACAATAACATATATGACATCTATGACAACACTAACTTCTGAAATACCTTTGAAGGAACTGTCAGGGTGCTTCACAGTTAATTTTTTAAAAATATAAGTGAAAGGACTATACTCCAAAATAACAATTAAAAGCATAGTATAGTAAATACAGCAGCATAGTTGCTTGTTGTCATTAACAAGTATTATGTACTGTACATAATTATATGTGTTATACTTTTGATGGCTGGCAGCAAAGTAGGTATATTTACACCAACATCACCACAAACACGAGAAATGTATTGTACAACCATATTATGATAGCTACAATGTCACTAGCAATAGGAACTTTTTAGTTCTATTCTAATCTCATGGGACTACTGTCATATATGGTCCTTCACTGTCTGAAATGTCATTATACAGAACAGGGATGTAATTTTATGAAGTTAGCACAATTTTGATTCAGCAATTTGATAAAAATATTACCAGCAGAAAAAAAATTCACCTATGGTCCTCATAAACATAGAGGCCAAAAATGTGTAGTGTAATATTAACAAATCTAATCCAGCAATATATAAAAAGGACAATAAATCATGATCAAGTGGGGTTTATCCCAAGAATGCAAGGTTGGTTTAACATTTCAAAATCAATCAATGCAATTCACCACATTAACAAAAACACTATATGAGCATTCAATAAATACAGAAAAAGCGTTTGTCAAAATTCAACACGCATTCATGATAAAATCTCTCAGCAAATTTGGAATAGAAAAGAACTTTCTCAATATGGTTAAGGGCATCTTCTAAAAATCTACATTTAGCATCATACTTAGTAGTGAAATACTAAATGCATACCTAGCAACAAGCATAAACAGTGAGTGCTCCATGGTTGGGAACATTTTAATCCATCCATATTATATGCTCCTAGGAGGTGAGGCCCACTAGACAGAGCCAGCACCCTCTGAAATTTTACCATTTTGTTGATGTTTTTAACTAGAGTAGCCCCAACCTTGCCACAAAAGTCAAGTCTTTCTGAGCCTATCAGTGCTGACAGTGTCCTTTAGAATTTCTTTCAACAGACTAATTCCTACCAACTATGAGGTAGTGTCTCAAATTCCTGGATCTAGTTTTAATAGCTTGTGTGCTTTTTATTTTCTTTTCTAATTACATTTTACCACTTGAAAAATAAACTCATTGATACAAAAAGAAAACAAAGAACTTTTTCTCTTAAATTTGACTGGAAAGAGTAACCCTTCATTTGGCAATTTGAAGTGAAAAACAGACACACAAAAAGTAAGACACACTCATACCATGTCCACAAATTTTAAACAAAAGGGGAAAAACAATCAATTTAGACCAATGAGGTCACAAAAATGACTTTGAGCCCTAGATCATTCAAACTGGCTGATTCCACTGTCCTACTTCATTAGATAAGCTGTTAGGCTTCTTGCTTCATTTTGGTTGTATAGTTGTATCCCTAAAGCATTAAGTAGGATTTGGTACTCAACTGCAGGCTGTTATAAGTCCAAACAGACCTCCACCCCCAGTAGAGACACTATTCTCCCACAAGCAACAAAATTTTCCTACCTTTTTTTTTCTTTCTGCTGCACCTTAACAGGCTCTGCTTTTTTGCTGGTTTTCTTCAAGCCTGCAGGAGCTGCCAGCTTTGGTTCAGTGACAGACACTGGAGGTAGCTCCACTATTTTTTCTTCTTTCACTGCTTGCTCTGAATCCAAATTGACTTTAAGTTTATCTACAAATAAAGTACAGCAGACAATATATGACTCCATCATGCAATATCAATCCATCATTCTTTCAATAGTCTACCATGTGCCAGATAATATGTTAGGAGCAAGAGCAAAAACGATAAAAAACAGCCCCTGTCCTCATGAAGCACACGGTCTATTCAGAAAACATTTCTCCTTTCCAACTACCTCTCTAGCTATAACTGTTTTCATGTCTGCTTCCCGCTAATCACTCATTATATTACAGCTCCCAGGCCAAATGATAGTAAAGCAAGGCTTAGAAAAAAAAACAAATACAACTTTGTGAGGTATCAGTCTTTTCATTTTTCAGATGAGGAAAACTAAAAGAGGAATTAAAAGATGTTTCTCAAGAATACAAAGTTTACAAATGGTGACAACAGAATCTGTACAAGACCATTACTTTATATTCTATGTTTGATTTTATTTATCTTTTAGTGCTAAGATACTCTTAATATCTCATTACCACCTTAATGACAAACTCTAAAGAATGTTTTGGAATCAGAAAAGTTTGGTTCAAACCCTGCTTCGCTCTAGGCATGGCAATTTGGAGTGAAAAATAAGGCAAGTTATTTTATCTAAGAGTCAGTCTTCTCTGTAAAAACTGGGATATATTAATAAAATGTTTAAGATTATAAAGATTAAGAGATCAGTATTGGTTAAGTGATTTATCCAAGGCCCGGCTTGGACATACAGTTTTAACTGACACGAGTAGATACTTAGGAGTGTGCCTGCTGGGTACACCCTGTTTAACATTTTGAAGTGCTGCCACACCATTTTACAAAGTGAGTATACTGCCGGGCTCAGTGGCTCAGCCTGTAATCCCGCACCTTTGGGAGGCTGAGGTGAGTGGATTGCCTGAGCCTGTGCGTTCGAGACCTGGGCAACATGGCAAGACCTCATCTCTACAATAAATCAAAAAGTTAGCTGGGCATGGTAGCGCGCGCCTGTAATTCCAGCTACTTGGAAGGCTGAGGTGGAAG